AAATCTACAAGAGCAGTTATTTGGTGAAAATGTATAAAATTACATTTAGCACTAATACAACATTAAGCAACAGAAGTCTAAATGCACAAAGGTGAAACATATAGGTGAGTAGTTACACAGATGCTTCAGAGGCTAAGGGGAAGCTAAGGATCACAATAGCTCAGGGACTAAATAGAGGGAGGTTCAAGCAGCAGAATGGATAAAAGATTCTGGAGAAAGAATTTGAGAAGGTGGATCAGAAATGTGGCATTTGCGGACTCAGTTAATGGGGGGGAAGGAGAATATCAAGTTTGCTCTTATTCTTAGAGGAAAGAGAAGCAAAAATGAGTAGAGGGGGTGGGGCAGAGGAGAAGAAGGAAAATACTCTGCTTTGAGACTGGTTACTTTCCAGGCAAAATACAGTCTATGTATAGGTCATTATATTTTACTCTGTCACATAGTGTCTTTTCAGGAGAATAAACAGTTTATTTGCAGTTGTACAACACACATTAATATTCAGTCATGGCTGTGAGTTAATATATAGAATCCTTCAAATAAATATTGATTTTTTTCTTCTAATTTATGTGAACGTAACAATTAATACATAACTACAAGAGTTTTAAAATGGCAAAAGTATATGTGAGGATTTTTTAACAGTTTTCACCCACTTCCTTGAATAACAACTGCATGTGTCCAGATGCATTGATTCAGAGTCAGTTCTTATTCTGCCCCAGAGCAGAATGCGTGCCCATGGTAATTTTAAGGAAGAAGTCTATTTAAGTAGTGGTCTTATTTAAATTATAAAATAACCCAAAGAGGGCTGAATAGAAGCATGAGTGTACATAGTTGTGAAGCTTTTTTTTTTACATGATAGCTGTTCGCTGGAGAATGAGAATGAATAATGGCATCCTCACATTCAATAAATTGGCTCGTTCAATGTAATCAGAGCAAGATCAGTTGACCTCATTGACAAAAATAAGTCTCTGTTCGTTTTTACTAGCTGAGCAGCTCCAGCACAGCTAAGGGTATGTTTACACAGAAAATGAGTGTGATTGTAGTGCAGGTAGGCATACCCACACTAGCTTTAACCTAGCTATCAGAGGTAACACTAGTCGGGAAGACATGGTGGAATGGACTTCAGTGTGGGCTAGTAACCTGAATAAATAGCTAGAGTCCCCAATGGGCTTGTACTGGGGCAACTAGCCTGCACTGAAGCCCATGTCATCATGTCTTCACTACTATTATTACCCACTCTAGCTAGATTAAAGCTAGATACCTATCCACCTTCATTTACTGTGTACAGATACCCTAAGATGTTAAATGGAAGCAGTTAATCAACATGGCAGAAGTGAATTGATGCAACACAAAATTCAGAGCCCAGGAGGAGGTGGGAATGAAGGTGGGTTTAAGTCATCTTTGTACCCTCCAAATCATGGGCTGTTCTGGGTGCTGGAGAGGGCCCTGATGTAACATTGGAGAAAGTCCAGAGAAGAGCAACGAAACTCATGAAAGGTCTACAAAAGATGAGCTCTGAAGAAAGATAGAAAAAATTGGGTTTGTTTAGTCTGGAGAAGAGAAGACTGAGGGGGGACATGATACGTCTTCAAGTACAGGTTGTTATGAAGAGGAGGGTGATAAATTGTTCTCCTTAACCACTGATGACAGGATGAGAAGTAATGGGTTTAAATTGCAGCAAGGGAGGTTTAAGGTAGACATTAGGAAAATCTACCTGTCAAGGTAGTTAAGCACTGGAACAAATTGCCTAGGGAGGTTGTGGAATCTCCATCATTGGAGGTTTTTAAGAACAGGTTAGACAAACACCTGTCAGGGATGGTCTAGATAATACTTAGTCCTGCCGGGGACTGGATTAGATGACCTAGTTATGTCCCTTCCAGTTCTACATTTCTTTGGTTCTGTGATTCCAAGGAATCCCTGTCTAGGTTGCAGTAGGCTCCCTGGGCTGCTCTGTGGGCCACACCAGTGCCTGGAATCTCCTCAATGCTGTGTGCTGTGGCCCTACCCTTAGCATGTCCCTCCAGACCCCTACACCAGACTTTGTGAGGGGGTCCTCAGAGGGCACCCTTATGTCTGTCTCTACTGTGCCTGAGCTGTGGGAATCCTCCTCTGGCCAGATATGGAGCTTTTAGGGTCCATTTCATTTTACATGGTATAAAAGGGCACAAAAGAGGATGTCATCCATTATGCCTTTCAGATGGATAACTCCTCCATACACCATGGCTAAGGTGATGGATTTTCTTCCCTACCCAACATATCATAGTCTCTTAGGAACCATAATTGAGTAGTTATTGTTTAAGTGACTTGCCCAAGGTCACAAAGCAAGTCAGTGGCACAAGCTGGACTTGAACCCAGATCTGACTCCTAGTGCTTTGTTCTAAATACCAGACCACACCATTGCATGATACTGAAGATTAACTTGGAAGATAACTAAATACTTTGTTTTTCCCCAGCTGAAGTTTTTGTTTACTCACAGGTGTATGGGCCATTGTCAGCTGTAGTGAGGCCCATCACAGTATATTTCTGTTCAAAGCAAATCACTATATTACAGAGCCATAATGTAATGTTTCTTCTGTAATGGATAACTCCTGCATAGGAATAGAAGTGTTACATCTACAGTCACCCCAGTGCACACTATATGAATCAGATCCTGCAGTCCCATTGAGTTCCATGGCAAAATTCCCATGCACTTCAAAGAGGGCGGGATTTGGCCCTTATGTGTCTTTTAATTTTTTTCTCCCAAAACTTTAAAATAATTAATCAGGTGTGCAGAGTTCAAATGCTAGCAAAGTGCATACTGACTACAGATAAGTTACAGCCTGCATTTGCAAGAGAACTTTCTTCCTGCATGATACAAATAATAAACTTTCTTCCTGCATGATACAACTTCTCAGTTCTGCTCAGGCAAGACCCATTGGCTTCAGAGGGAGTTTGTAAAGACTTTTTAAAAGCTGAATGAGGAACTCGGGAGTTGGCCCAGTGATCGAAGTTTATGAATGAGCCAGCAAATCGGATTCACATAGAATCAGTTTTATTGCCAGGTAAGAAATTCATATTAATATAGTGAATACATATGTTTACAAATAAACATTCTTAAAAAACAAACAAACATTTTAATCATAGGAAGTATTATTGGTATCATAAACTCTGTAGTTGTTAACAAGTATTAACACGGGTTTACTTACAGAACATACAGTTACTAAAATATTTCCACATAAAATATGCTAAAGTTACACAAAAATCTGTGTGGATAAGAGTGCAGCTGAAGTGTGTATCTAAAGCATATGGATTAACAGCAACATTCCATAAAGGGTCAAATTAAGTTAGCCAGTTGTGAAGGCAATAAAGGTTAAAGGAATGAAGTGAGATACTGGAGAACTTGGAGTGTGTGCAAAGTATTAGTCCATGGGCTTTGTCTACTTCTCATAGGCTTAAAATAGATGATCATACAATTTAGAAGCACACTTATAGAGTGATGCCTGTATTGTCAGGATGCAAATCAAGCTTGAGATGGTTGGATAAGTGATCTGTCCTTTAGCCTCTTTTAAACTTCTCTGCTCTTGCATCTTTGCAAAAATCTAAGAAGAAATACTGCCTGAATCAGCTGAATACAGTTAAGAAATCCTACCTTTCATTCACTTTACAGCATAGAGTTCTCAGACTCATGGAGCCAATCATGTCCTGATACATTATGAAACTAAACTAAACTTAAGGAGAATTGACAGCCAGTGAGAATGTAAATTTTATTGGGATGGTTAGTTTATGACTTGGCCAAATGACTTCTTTTTTGGGAGGGCAGGGATTTTAGTGCATGATGAAAGTGAAATGCAGATTGCACTGCCTGGTGTCAGGCTGTTGCCACACAGTCCTGGTCTCACAATTTTTACTTCACTGCTAATGTACACACATTTTACCATTCCAGGACTGCCAGGCTGCTAACTGTGCCAAATTCTGGAGTGGTTTTATTGATATGAAAAAATGTATCCAAGTAATCAGAACCATGGTAAGGCGAGACCATGAGTCTGATTTTAAACCCAGACCCTTGTGATGTCTGAGGCTAGTGCAGTAGTCCCCTTTATCAAATAGCCCACCAAGAGGGGGGACACCACTAACAAAAAGCAAACAAGAGAAAAGACAATATGCCATGTAACATTTAATTGAACTTCGAAGGAGAACTACTGTGCCTAAAAGCAAATACAGAATGAAAGACTATAGGGGATTTTAGGTAGGAAAATTATGGTGCACCATAGGGGGTGAGGGGCTAACTAAATATTCCTGACCTTGCAACCACTACACGGAGATGAAACATGAATATTCATTCTTGACAACAAAAGAGGGCAGAGAGGCTGATGGGGATGGAACCCTTCTAATACTTTAATAAAACATGAGGAAATAAGCTTAAAAGAACACGGGTTTCACTTTGAGAAACAAGACTGTCATTGAACAATAGCAATACAGTAAAGGCACCACCCACGCTTATTTATTTTCAGTCCGAAGCAGTTGAATATAGGCAAAACATTTAGGTGAAGAAAAAGTCTTGACAGTCCGCAAAGTGAGAGTTGTTACCTTCTGCCTGGAAAACAGGACTGAGGGGGAGTGGTTTTCTGCCCACTGCCCTCGCCTTCCCGCACTCCCACCCCACATTCTGTCATATGATATGTCTCTTATTTTGGAGGTTCAAAAAACTTTTAAACTAAACCAAAAATAAACTAAAATAAAAGCGTCTTGTGTTTGTTGTTGTCCTTCTGGACGCTTTGCCAGCCAGAAAGTTCCCATATGTTTTTAATTGTAACAGTCTTCGTTGGATTCACATGAAAGAGTCTTTTGTCTATTTTATTTTATTGGGGGTTTTTTTGCGCTTCATATAGTGATGGCATGAAAGTACAATAATGTTAGGGCTGGTACCAAGTTATTTGCACTTGGGTTTTCACAGGTCTAGTGATTATTATTAGAATTTATACAAAATTCCTGACCAAAACAATGTATTACAGTATATTGTTCTCTCTCACTAGCTCTCTGTCTCAAGGCAGGAACATAGTGTAATGGTTTAAGCAGACATAAAGTTTCTCTAGATTGTGCTACTTCTCATCATGGATTTCAGTTTCAAGTAAAAAAAAATTAGTCACAAGGGTTTGTTTTCCAGTGTGAAATACAAATGGTGTTTCTAATTCAACCTTCAGTGTATTGCTGAATGGTATTAGCCCACTCTTTGCCTTACAATTGGCTTCATAGCAGGAATGTCCAAGTGGAAGTTCCTTTCTTTCTTGATATCATTTTTTTTTGCCTCTTTCAGTTATGTGTGTGTTTTGTTTTTAAGGGATCTTTTTTTCTCAAAAGCAATCTCAAACAGTCACTTCTGTCTTGCTGTTAGTTATGAAATATGGCTGTGGGGGTAGATAGTGCTGGCTCCGAGTTGTCAGTGGGTCACTTGCTGCTGGTTCTCCTGTGCCGTGCTTTCCCTTGTTTGCATATGTCTGCCGTCGGAGGGACTGGACACTGGGGTCCCAGGTTTTGAAGTTGGAGTTGTAAGCTAAGGGGTGTGTGTGCATCTTTGAGACTTTGGATTTCTGCCCATTCTGTCTGGTCGTGCCATTGTCAGGTGTGTATGTTCTGTCTTCCTCTCTGCGCACTGGGTGCAGTGGCAGGCTCCCCTTGGCAGCCAGTTCTGCAAGGTGTCGGCGTTTGGAATAGAAGTCGTCGTTGACCTTGTCAGCTGTTTGATTTCAAAAAGAGGAGGGGAAAAAAAGAAAAGGTCAGTTGAGTGCAGAAAAATATTAAACATCAATGCAGAGTTTATAGTCCATCATGTTGATTACATCTAGATCAGCTAGAAAAACAAATCTTTCTAGATGGGAATAAAAATCCATTCTTAAAATGGTTTTGGTAGGAAGATTCAATGATCTTTTCCTTAGATCTTTATGGATAGCAGCAGCCCAGGTATTAGTGGCTTCAGTATAATATTTCAACAGATTTAAACTGGCCATGCAAATGTCCACCTATACCATACATTTCTGAAAACCAAAAGACACCAATTTTAATTCTCATTAAGGGCCTGTGCCAAAGCTCACAGAACTCAATGTGAGTCTTTCCATTGACTTCAGTGGGCTCTGGATCAAGCTCTAAATATGCCAGGCTCTGCAGGTGTCACCCAGGTACCATTCTCACTGTGTATGTTGTTTGTTATCCCTTTTAAAAAAAAAAAAGCTGTTGTCTTTCCACATCTTGAGACTCTGGACCAATATTGCCCATCCCACAGAGAGGCAACCTGAAAACTCTCCATAACTAACCTTGCAGAATTTACCAAATCATCTCACAAAGGAAGGGAGTTGGGGAACTGGCAGAGGTGAAGTCTCCCAACCCCATGAATCCCAGTGATTCATGAAGGGGAGCCCTAGTCCTGCAGAGGAGGTGCTGTTCACTACAATGATGCTTAGGTAACAACTTTCACAGAGAACCCCTGTAGTAGTACCCACAAAGGGGATCTAGCAGGAATCTATACTGATTCAAACTACAGTATGTGAAGTTCCACTTGGATAAGGGGTCAGCAAGGATGATGCTGTTGATAGTAGTGGGTAGGTCCCTGGCTCTACCTCAGCCCTGCCCTCAAAGTACCATGGAAGTACATCCCCTCAGAGCTAGAGAAAAGGATCTTTTATGGGATCCCAGGGGCAGAGAGACACTATGGCAGATGTGGCATTTCCATTCTGTTCCCCCCCCCCCAACCTCCCTGATTTACCAGTTTTTCCCCTCCTCCATTTGCAGAGGATCCTCTACCCGTTGCTTTTTAAATGGTGAATTCAGTCAGGAGCAGAATGACTCTGGAGGGCTAGCTGTAGTGTTCATTGTTTGTGCACACAGCAAAAATACAAAACCATTTGTCACAATTCAACACAAACGGCACACTCTGCTCAAGAGAGGCTGCTGCAGGCAGAGATGAGATGCATTTGGAACAGCTGTGATAGGAAGCAATGGAACCAAATGCTTTGGGTTCCTCACTTTCAGGCAGGGCCGGCACTTCCATTTAGGCGACCTAGGCAGTTGCCTAGGGCGCCAGGATTTGGGGGGGTGGCATTTTGCTGCCGTTGGTGGCAATTCTGCTGCAGGGGGTCCTTCCGCGCTCCGGGTCTTTGGCGGCAATTTTGCAGCAGGTCCTTCACTCGCTCCGGGACCCGCCGCCGAAGTGCCACGAAGACCGGGAGCGCGGAAGGACCACCCTGCCGCAGAATTGCCGATGACGACCAGTAGCGCGGAAGGACCCCCGTCTAGGGCGCCAAAAACCCTGGTGCCGCTCCTGCTTTCAGGAGCACTAAATTAACACAAATCCTGATAAATTTTCTTAGCATCATTCCTAAAAACTGCATGTGGCATACCATTTTATTATAGAGGAATATCAGCAAAATACCAATATTTAGACATGGAGCTGGTGACAAACTAAGCAAAGGGACTATAGAAAAACTGTGGTTACAATGAGTAGCATGAATGTTGCAATGCAATGTAATGTACTATCTTTTTTATTTCAATACGGAGTCAGAGGCACTTGCCCCATCATCTTTGAAAAATATCTTTATTTAATGGAGGTTGTTTGGACTCTGCAGAATGTGCTTGCTGCCATGAATGGGTACTTTGCTGCGCCTTATGTTCCCCTAAAGAGGGCAGATTTGACTTTGCCAAACCATCCTTTGCACCACCTCTGGGTGTGCCATAACAAATTATATCCCCTTTCCTTCAAGCTAAAACCTACTCTGCCTCTGCAAGTCCTTTAGACACCACTCTTGCTGTAGAGCCCGACATCCGTTTCCACCATGTTGCATGCTTCCCTCAGCTGCCATTCCATTTTTTTGCACCTTTGCTATTGGTACAGATTCTGTTGTGCTCTAGTCCTAAACATCACTAATCCTGAATTTAGCCTTACAGTATGGAACTTTAATTCTGAAGGTGAAATTTACCCCTCTGCAGAGGGCCGGCATGAAGGCAACTCACCACATCCATCCTCAAAATAGGGCTTCATTAAAACATAAATGGTGCATCCTGCTTGTGCAGGCCCTCTGCACAGGGGTGGATTTTGAGCAGCAACCATTGTGAGTATCATCTCAGGACCTTATCTGCGTAATGGCCATACAACTGGGTTTTCTTTTTCGAGTGTAGATTTCATCACTGAAGATGTATTTTCCCTCAGATTAAGTGAAATTGCTTAGGAAGGAGACTATGCTGTAAAATTAGGCTTTACATGCCTTACCTATCTCCATCTGTCTCTCTCTTAATTGGCAATTGAATGCTTTCTATAATGTACAGGTGCAGTAAAGAATTTGTCTTCCCTTTTAATTAAAATACAGAATGTAGATAATAGCCTGTTCTAATTTCAATACACGATGTGCGAATGCAATTACTGATAAAGCTGTAATATATTACAAAGAAGACTTGCTAGAGTTTTCTTCCTTTTACAAATCTGTGATCTAAACAGCCAGGAAATTACATCTACTTTGTTTCTGAATGACTTTTGTCATTCTAAATATGGACAGTCCTATTTATTGCAAAACAGTGTTCATCCGTATTTGTTAGGGGGGAAAAAAAAACCCTGCAGTTTCACACTGATGGATATACAGTCCCTCTTATTAGCTTCTCATGAGCACTTGTGCTAGCAAGTATCTATTTGCAAATATGTATTTGCATGAGTATTCACACCAGATACTTTTATGTGGCCATACTGGTAGATTTGAGTTAGCCAGTCAGGGAGCAGGAATCACTACCATATGACTTAGGCCTTGTCTATATGAGAAGTCCCACCAGTTTAAACAATTTTAAATCAATCTAATTAAACAGGTTCAAACTCCCAATGTAGACACACAACAGTTTGTTCCATGTTTAAATTGATTTAATTTTCATTGGAAAATTACCAGATTAAGATAAACTGATTTAAATATGGGTTAAAGTATGGGTTCAGATCCATTTAGCTAGATCTATGTAGTTAAACTGGGGCAACTTCTGTCATATAGGCAATGTCTTAGGTGATCAATCACAACGTAAGTAATGAATTAGGAATAGTAAATGATCAAAGTAATAATCATGACACATAATTTATGAGCAATCTGTTGGGTGAAAATGTTTGCAAAGGCCATTCACTAAATAATATTTATCAAATTAATAAAATCTGTATCTATTTGTAAATAATGAATGAACTGAAAAAAAAAAAAGACGTTAACATCATAGAGGGCTAGATTGCAATAGACTTATTCACAATGAATAGTACCTTAACTTCATTGGTACTTCCACTTAAGTCAATTGTAGAACTTGTGAAAGAAAGGGCTTCTAAACTGGAGCCATGGTTATCAGAAATCTGGCCCTGAATAAATATGTTCTCTGTGAATAGTTTTCTGAGCTCCAGTTTTAGGTATAATTCTAATGGAGTATTCCAAGGTTAATACTACCCACTTCCAGATCTTCCCTTGGCTAAGTAAGCAATGCCCCAAAGAGACAACCTTAATTCCTTGATTTCTTTTTCTTCATACTCTTTTTGTTGGCCATATCTTTCATGCTGGAGCAGTGCCTGCATTCAGATTTCTGTCAGATACAAGATCTATTACTCAGATCTCTAGATATATTAAGATAAATGTTCTCACACAACAGTAAATTGTGTTACCATTGTAGCCCTAATAGTTCAATTGTTTAATATAAAACAGGCTCCCATTGCGAAAGCTAGAGGTGGGGAGAGCAAAGCCTAGAAAGTGTTGTGAATATGAGGTGTCTGGTGGTTTTATTTTGCCCTTATACAAGTTATATGTATTCTGTGTAAAATTTGCAGCTATTTTATTGGTTGAGCTCGAAGGCCAAATAAATAGATTCTGCAAATACAGTTCCATTTTGTTAAGTATTTCAGCTAACTAAATCCAGTGAGACTTTCTAGAGTTTTACAAAACTAACGGCTGGAAATCTGAGAATCAAGGTAACAGCAAAGTTCAATTTGCAAAAGTTAGCCGGTGAGAAGTAAATGGGCGAAATTGGCAGCACTGGGGAATGACTGCATTTGATTTGCTTTAGGCTGCTGTGATAGCATGGGAAAGTTGGCATTTGAACCTGTACTAATCAAATCACTCATGGCTGTCCACTGAGAGATTCCCACATGTGCCTAACACTTTGATTTTGTAAAGAAGCCTTAGGAAGCTGCCTAGGACTCTTGCTTCTTTCTTGGTTTTCTTTCATCATGGCCCACAGTGCATGCATCTGAAGATAGCTTCTGCTATTCAGTATGAAAAATTCAAAGGCAGCTGAAAATTACTGTTGGTTCAGCTTTTGAGAAAATTTAGAGTTGTCATGGATGTTCTTTATGATGTGAGGTCTACAAAGCTGTAGGACTCTCCCAATTTATGCTACAGCTACCATTCAATTCCTATCCTATTTTGAAAGCTTAAATTTTGTGTGTCATTTCTCAGTTCATTCTGTCATTTAACCCATTTTGAAAGCTGTCTAGAATGTCTTTGAAGGAAGAGACGTGATTGTACTTTCGTTCTTCCCTGCTATGTTAAATACTATGAAATTTCTGTCTATATTCAATCTTCTAGTTCATCCTCTCACTATCAATATGATCAGTGTTGATAGCATCTTTTGATAGTGAAGAAATGCTGAAATGAGAGTGCCTACGTATATGCGGAAAATGTGTATTATACCCTGTTCCTCCCACTCACACTTGAATAACTCAAAAAAACAGCTGAATAACTT